GGATGGGAGAGAACAGATGAGTGGATTATAAATCACAGCAAAGTCATACCTCTGGACCAGTATTTGCTGATTGTGTGTAAAATAAAAGGACGTTGCCTTCCCATCATCCATCTTTATAGATTCCGCCTGCATCTACGCGCTCTCATTCTTTCCTTTTTGCTGTTTGTAACGAGCCATCTATCAACAATGCATTATGTGAAAGAAATATAATCCCGAGAATGTCGTCGCATGAAGTGTCAGATTGTACTCTGCAGCAGTCACGTGTTCCTATCACTGACTCTTTTTTCTTCCCTCTCTGTTTTTGTCTTCCTCCTCAGACCCTGTACAGTAGCTCAGGCTGACTTGTGCCAACCCCAGAAGGAACATCAGTGGGTGGGTGCTTGAAAGAGCCAGCGCCAGGGAGTTAATACCACTCAGTGCTGCTGGAGGTGTGACACAGTCCAGCCCACTACACATTGATTCACACAGGATTAAGCCACTGCATGATGCTTCAGGCGGAAGGCCTGGTGCAGGTGATTTACCGTCCCTGTCAGACTTAACATCTCTGGAAGCCTCGTCTGCCTTGTTCCTGCCTTCTGTGGAGCGACTAGCAAAAAGCATCTGCCCCTGTGCTGTGCCAACCAAATCACCCAAAGGGATGACTGGCAGTCGTCTTGCTCAGGTACGGTGTGCATTACAGATCGTATGGTGTCAGAAGCAATGCACGAGGCTACCGAACCATTTCTGTGTTTTTAAAGGATGCAAATGACTTTATTCTTCTTCAGAATCTGTTTTCGGTTTAAACCATAGACTGTATAAAGATGGACGTAGCTGCCGTGACGTCACCCGTTGGTTTCTGCACTGAGAACATGAAGCCAGGGTTTTGCTACTTCCTGGTTGACATCTTGGATTTTTGGGGCCAAAAATCGTCGGAGGGGGGCGGAGCCATAGGAGCAGCGATTGGTCAGACGGATTGAGAGGCGGGCCCTCTCTGCCCCGCCCACATTTACCGCCTTCTGCTGGCTTCGTCTGCATCGACGCCGCCGACTGTCAATCAAGCCAGCCACGCCCCTTGCCCCGCAAAATGTTGATGATTTTTTAAAAATTCAGTATTGATTTATTTTCAGATTGGCCACCTGATCTCTGGATTTGACCATGAAAACTAATAAGAAACAAATCCTGAGCTGTAGGAATGCAGTATTTGGTGATCCAGGGCTTTGTGGAGCCAGCAGCTAGTGGACGTAGTGATGCTGCAGGTTTTTGACACTTCTGGGTTGGCTTTATTTTTGGTCCATCTTTTATACAGTCTATGGTTTAAACATATACGGCTGTATTACACCAACATTACAACTTACAACTGTGTAGCGTCGAGTAGATTTACAGCGTGATCATAGTCGTAGGTGAGCTGGTGTGCTGAGCTGCAGCGTGTGGGGGAGAAGTGAAGGCAGGACTTCATGGATCTGCACATTCTAGAGGAAGCAACAGTGTTGAGTTGTATCTGAGGCAGGAAAGGATTAAATTTATACAAAAATAAAGCAAAACTTCTAAATTTGTCTTTAGGGATTTAAGTAGCGACCAGAGAGAGACTCAGTTGTTTCTGTTTCTGCTTTCCATACACGATGACTTCACCTTTATGTCACAAGCGTGGATGGGAGCTGGGATTGCTAAACGCCCGTCTGAAGCCTTGACCTTCACGACCCCCGCTGCGCTCATTCAAATTGATTGTCGGCAGCGGACATAAATTGTGCGGCGTGAAGCCATCCGAATTCCCACGGATTCTCCATCCGTCCGCTGACAGTTGTTTTCAACTGTTTTTCGGCCGGCGGCGCCCATTGTTTCCCAGTCGTGATGAAAAGTCAGAGGCTAAACCTTCAGGAAATGACAAACACATTGTGTATTGCAGAGCTGTCACCATCTGTTCAGCCAATGAAATCGTAAAGTTGTCTTTGTTACAGCTCTGAATGGGATAATGCGCACGGTGTCAAAAGAATTCAGAAATCAAATGGAGCCGGTCGATATGCTTAAATACCAGGCTGGAGAGAGACGGATGAATTCAACTGCTAAACAAGCCTGTGATCAAAGGAATACCAAAAAAAAAAGAGAGAAGAAGAAGAAGACCGCGTTGTGCTTATGATTTTTTCGACGCTGTCACGGCCGTTTCTGCCAATGAAAACATCTGCAAAAATCAGCTTGTTTGGATTTCCGTTCTGATATTGCCAAACACAATAAAAAACAATTACATGCGCCGCAACGTGGAAAAAATACTTGCAGCTGTGATAGATTGAATTCAGCGCACAAAGAGGAGCACAGGAATATAGGCAGGAATTTAAGCCGAGAATGTGAGGAGAGAATGAGCTGGTTGGCGACATAATTGTGTGGAAATCCAAGGAAGAGGGTGGCATCTTTGGTAAACAGACTGGGATCAAACGCCTTTGTTTCCACTCCAGACAGAACGGGGTGTTTGGCTTATTTAAAGAGAGGCTGGAGGACGGCGTGGTGATTGTTCAGAGCCTTGGCATATCAAATTAGCTTTTGCCATTCATTTGGAAACATCTAATCAAACATTAATTATTGTGACCACCTGTGAAAGGGAAGGCTGCAGAGTGTTGCTCATCTGTTCCCTTATGATAGCTGCAGGGTTCTCACTCTCTGAATTCAGCGAGCGGGCCCCAAACAAGGACCACAGGAGACAGCGAAGCAGATTGCATTCCATCAGATCATGGAGTATCTAATAGGATGCACACCAGCATCTGAGCCACGCTGCTGTTTGCCAGGTTTTCTGCGGCCACTGAGAGCCTGGCATGGTTCCTTTGACCCAGATATTTAGCAGCCTAACAGTTTCTTCTTTTTTTTTATTTTTATTTTTTTTTTAAAAAGATTTTCAGGATTGCTTCCTGTACTGATTTGCACAGACTGGATGAGTCCAGCCTGTATTGCTGCTAAACCTTGCGAACGTATCTGACACTATGGGGTAATCTCGGATGTCAGTCTTCATGTGCTTTGAACAACAGTGCTGGCATGCCTCGGGGTCATGCTCGTTTCCATCGCTTGTTTCTGTTCAGGAGCGTGTTTTCCAATCAGTTGTGACATGTTCTGTCAGCCCCGTGTCCCATGAATAGTCAAATAAGAATGGCTGGAGGGAGGATGTAATCTAGGTGCAGTCAGGTATGGCTTCCAGAGCGCTGCAGCCGGAGAGGACGGCTAGTAATCAGCAACCAGAGGTGTCTAATTGGCATATGGTGGTGTAAGTGCCAGACTAGGCTGCTCACTCATCCAGACAGAATACATTTTCTAGCCATCAAAAAAACGTGAGACAAAGGACGGCTCTAATGGGAAAAAACAAAAAAACACAGAGCGTACATTCAAAGTGAAGGAGTTGCTCAAAACAGAAAGAGAGAATTAACTGTGTAACCGTCGTTAGGGGAGGACAGCAGCACATGCAGCAGATCGTTGATTGGTATTGAAGAAAGACACAAACAAAAGATATGTGCCCGACTGCCAAACCCTGACTCTGTATTTGTTCTGAGTTTAAAAGCCTCTCAACAGAAAAAGAAAAGAAAAAAACAGACCCAAACACTTTGACTATAGAATAACACATCAAAGCCAGAGGAAAATTGGACAGTCCATCAAAAACCCTGCATCTGGCAGCCCACTTCTGGGCACCAAGCCATCTCCATCCCAGCATTTCTTTCTCATTAAACAAATTTTTTGCCCCCACCAAAACACAGCTAAAGCAGCAAAGTCAAAATCTAATTTCCCTGAATGAAATCAAGCAAAAATAATTCCGCTCCCCGCGCTTTCACAGACATACCATGTGTAAATAATCTTAAATCTCCGACGGCTTCTGCCTCTCAGCAGTTAATCTACCATTAGATACTCTCTATGATACTTAATTATGGAGGAGAAATGTGGTGAACCCACTGCGTGCTGGTGATCTGTCGTGTTAACGGGGAAATTCAATTAAACTCTGATTTTCTTATTGTCGTGATGCAGCTCTTGTTCAGCAGGTAAATAAAAGATGCAGAAACAGCAGCACAGACTACATCCATCCACCAACATCCTCACTTTAAAATAAACACCAAAAACAAAAAACTTGTGTACAGGATGTGCAGATCACTGATACCGACTTATGAATATGGATCAGAGTAACTCTTACTTTGCATAAACTTATTAACATTTTCACTTCTTTCATGTGCAGCAACTCCCCACGCTGGACACGGCGCGCAGTTTTACTTCATTTTAACCCAGTTATGTGTTTCACTTAGTGCTATTGTTTACCAGGAAGTATTTCTGTATTGAGTCCCACGATTGCAACTTGACAAAAAAAACCATAAGTGCAGTAAATAATCACACATTCCTCTTCGGCAGAGCGCTGTACGTTTGTTTTTGAATCGCCGCCGTCATGAACAGCAGTCTCTCAAAGCATCAGGTGTTACAGATTCAATTCCATATTCATTAATTTTGCTGTTGGTGCAGCACAATTAGAGGCCCAGCGAATCCAGGACTAATCCCTAACACTCCTAGGACATGAATCACAGTAGCAGGAGATAGGGATAAATGAGTTGCAATAAAAAGGTACTAATACCCTGTATTACTCCAAGCTTATAGTCTCCCTTCCTTCAATATTTGTTTCCACTTCTACCTTGGGAGGCTAAGATCCTCAAGTCTCTCTGACTAATTATTTTTGGTCTGGGTAGGAGGAGAAGCAGCCGTATTATGTATGCTTTTATGCTGCATATAACAGAAAAAAATAAGGGAAAATCAAACACAGCGGTGCATTCAATCAAACACTGTGTGAGAGAGTGTGATGCACTTTGGAAGGTAACGCTGAATATTGTGTTTGTGGGCTGGAGGTCTCAGTGGGACTTCCTGTCTGAGTGACATCCTCGACTCTCCCTGTATTTGAAGATCTCTCCACACAGTCCCTTCCTCTGCTTCCTCTGGCCCATGTCTCTGTCCATATTTATGAGCGCGTTACTAATAAATTTCATTCTCTCCCCACAGGAGTAAGAGAGGAAGCAATGGGCTGGACTATGACTCTAAAAGATGACTTTGGGGTCATTGCCTGGACTCGGCGAGCTGGGAACTACCTCAGTCTCTTCCTCCTTTTGTCTCTCTTTTCCATTCCAGCCCATTCAGACATTGTGTTTCCTAAAGACCATCATTTCTCATGGAGAGCAGGTAAAATATTCAATCACTGGCTTTTTGTTACGTGTGCGTTAATAAATGCGCCTTTTGACTATCTGAATATTCATCATGCGGGTCAAATCATTTTAACCTGTGTGGAGCTAAATCGGCAGATGTAGTCACTTATGAGATGTACAATCACAGTTCACGGCTCGACACTTGTACAGATTGCTTCAATGGTGTTCTGTAAAATATGCTTATTTTTGTGCCGATTCAATGTGAGGATTCACCAAGTCTTTGTGTGGACCTGTTATAAAGAGGGATATGCTGCGTGTTTTAGCGCTCACACATTCTAGCGTACAGACAGCAGGAGTCAGACGGTCATTACTGCCTCTCATTAGACGGGGAAATACAACTACATTCATTTTCTGAAGGGGGAGTAATCCTCCTCTTTCCGACACACATGGGGAACATAAACTCCGGCCTGAACGCCCGGCTGGTTCCTCTAACTATACCTTTTTCTGACTGACTATTCATTGGCAGTCCCAAAGTGACGAGCGGGGCTTCGGGTGCTGTAGCATCGATGCATATGCTGATATAACGCCGTTAATGAGACACGGGTGCACACTGGATGAGCATGTCTTGGTATGTTGAGTGGATTTATGGCCCCGGTTATGTCTCGTGGACGTTGTTTCCAGGGACAACGGGCTGAACGCTGTACACGCATCGATCTGCGAACGCCGTCTCGACACGTACAGTATGGATCCAGAGCTTTATTGTGTTCTGCACAGTGTCGCAGATGCTTTTATGTGCATCCATCTTGTGGTTTATACGTAAACATTTGTCATATTTGAGAGTGAATTACCCCTGGAAAGCTGAAAACTGACGCCGTACGTCACTCTCTTATGGAGGGAATTTTGAGGTAAGCTCACGATTCATCCTTTACTCGCTTCACAAATTCAATTGAAAATGCATTTGCAAAGCAGCTTGAGGAGGAAAACTTGGCCTTCCCACACAAAAGCCCCACTTGCTGTGCGATTAGCACTTTCATTTCTCACTCTGTGGTTGGGTAATGACACTGCCCAAGTGATAAAGAGATTGATTAATTTCACTTGAAAGAGCTTATGTTCAAAAGGGATGTAACCGGGACACCAAGTGTGAGGATTTGACATCCTTACAGAGCTAAGATGGCTTATGAGTTGTTTCTTAACTGGAAATGAAAATCAATTTGGAGACGAGAAAGGAAGTCTCAAACATAACATGCCTCACCTCTGAATTTATCCTCCTAATGTCTGGCTGACTGCAGAGAAGCCGTCTGACTGTGACAATTGGTATCATGATGCTTTGAAGTGAAATCTAACATAAATTTCCCTCCTGCCACCCGGTGTGGTCAGCTGCATAGGAGCCACGTCGCGTCGTCGGCACACATTCGGCATAATTTGGTTTAAACGTTTTTTTACCGACAGCGCAGCCGCTCCAGGCTTTGTGTCCCAAGTGTGGGTTCACGTCGGCAAACCCTGACCCAACTCGACTGGCTCAGACGTGATGTATTTGAGCGCTCAGTGTGGCAGACAGGCAACCCTTTTAATTTTGGAATTGTCATCACGGGGAAGATCTGCACTAAATTAGCACAGCCACCCTATTGTGTGTTTGGTGTGTCTATCTAGGCCAGCAGCATTGTGGGGTAAGTCTTTTGTGTGAGCCAGTTCCCAGAGCTGTGGCTAAGCTGTGAGTCTGCGGCTCAAACGGGGAGCTGGAGCCATTTAAGCTTGACCTTCATCAGTGTCTTGAAGAACAGAATAGAGCACTGAAACGCTGCCGCTGCGCCTAATGGGACTATTATTTAACTCAGAAAAAGTGACTGTTCAAAGACGTTCCCTTCAAACATCCATACTTGCCCTCTTTTAGCAGCGAGTTACACGTTCGGCGCTAACTCACAGCGCACTGCATCAGGAGCAGATCATGAGACGGTAATGGGAGTTAACAGCTGCCATGTCAGCCTGGAAGTGGTTTTCTTTTTTTGCTTCCCTACAAAAGGTGACAGCTCTGTTCTTTTTCAAACTGATATCAAATTATCGGTGATGAAAAATGTTATAGGAGCCATCACACAAAGCCAGGATTAGAGTTTAGCTATTTTTCCTCTCGTCTGTGCTGTCAGCCAGCGGACGACTGTGTGTGTGGTGTTCGTTTCATTTATTTATATTAAACTGATTCGTCACTACGCTGCAGATTGCATATGACGAGTTTATGTGTTAGGGTAAATAATTTATATTTTAAAAAACGTAGCAGACATTTGCATGCTGTTTTAAATGTCGTCTTTGAACTTCAGGGTGTCACATACGGTCCCGTTTGCTTCAAGATGCTGATATCCAAACCAGAACGTTTAAACTGGATTTAGCTTCACTGCGTTTAAACATCCAGTGTCAGCTTTAGTCTACTGCAGTGAGGAAGATCTTCTCTCCAGGGTTTGCATTTGTCATCTCTGAGACGAGCGTAATTTTTCCTGTAGAAGGTCTTTAAAAATGTTGGGATTCACCTCTCACAAGTTATTTCTATATATATTATTTTTCTTTTAGCAGCCAAGTTTAAGAAACAGGAAGAGAGCTGCTTTCATAGGTACATGTGAGAGCTCATCCCAGATGGGCCTGTATCGTACATCAAAGCTTCTTCTTTCCAAAAACAAAAAAAAAAAAAAGCACCTTTCCCTAAGTTTGTCTCTTCTGTCGGACTGACTGGGGAATCCAACTAGTTCAGGAAAGTGAAGCATCTTTATCTCCGAGGACAAAACTGTGATATTCCAACATCATTTTAACAACACACTGGAGACGGTGTGCAGCAGCTTCCACTGTGATTAAAAGCATGCGTTTGTATTTGTTTAGCAGCGATGCTTTTCCTCCCTCGCGCTCCGTATTTCCTCCTGTTGGCTAGCAGAGATGTTATTTAATGTGTCACTGCTTCACGTCCTCCAGAGAATTGTAAAATGATGCCGCCGTTCATCTACGTTACGTGGGAACTCGCAGCAGTGAGATTCAATTGAAGGGCAATGATTTTCAAAAGATTGAGAAATCAATGGAGGTTTTCCTTAATGAGAGGACCCTCAGCACCTGCTGGATTAATCAGAGGCCTTATGAGGGTGAAACCACAGGACCTTGTCTTATACTGTAAATCATTCTGAATTGGTTCAACCTGAAACTGGAAGTTTTCCTGCTGACTTCAAAACTGAACTTTGGCTGAATGATGAGGTCAGACGACTGAGGTAGCTCAACTTAAGGTGAGAAGTTAAAAAAAGCTTGTAGGTTGAATCTGCAGCTTTTCTTTCCGTTTGCATGATGAACTTGTTGAGGAGGTTTTGTTCCAGACGACGTGTGAGGCGGCTCCCAGGTGCAGAGTTAACGTAGAAGTGTGTGCAGGTGGAGACGCAATTCAGTTTTAACTTTAATCACGGTTAGCATGATTTTCATTAGTATAAAAACAGAAAAAATGCAGTTTTTTCATCATGTCTGTTCTTCAAATTACAAAAGATAAGAGTCTGTGGAGGATTTTTATTATTGCAAAGCGAGGCATGCTGGGCAGCCTGTGCTCATCACGGTTCTTTAAGAAGTACATTTCTGTCAACTCTCAGGTCTGCAATCATTAGACCGCTGATTATCATCACTCATCATCAGCTCAAGTCTGTCAGTTGTGAAGTGGTCTAAAAATAACATATATAAATATACCTAACATACAGTAGTTAGGTGAAGAGAAAAGATTAGCTGGTTCCATGATTAACTTCTATATCAGGAGTATTCAACTGAAATCCAAAGAGGTCCTTGTTAAAGCAAAGGTCCAGAACATCAGAACGTCTAACCTGAGTTAATGTGATTTATGCTGACGTTGTAGGACCACAGTCTACAGCTCACTCGTCTCTTTGTCTTCTCTCTTTATCACTTTCTTTATATATTATATTGTTTCTATCGTCGTCTCTTAACTCTGGATGCAGAGCTGCAGTGTTCAGTGTCAGGAATGCAGAGACGTTGTCACATAGGCTGATTTAACTCACATGTAACTGGTCTGTTTTGTGTTTCCTGATGTGCTAAACTGATGCCGTGAACACTAGAAAAGCTGCACCGGCTAAAATAGCAGCATCTGAGCCACTGAAGCTTTGAACTCCTTCGGAGCGGTCGTAGGTGTCTTGGCGGCCTCGCTGTCACTCAGCTTGTGAGGACGGCCAGCTCCAGGCAGATTTAAACAGGCGCCGTACTCCTTCCATCTCTTAATGATGGATTTAACTGAACTCCAGGATGTCCAGTGAGTTGGAAATCTTTTTGAAGCCATCTCCTGACTTATAGGCACGTTTACATGCAGCAATAACGGTGATATCTCAAAGCGTCTGGTCCTTTGGTTTGCACGTAAACAAAGTCTCCGAAAATGATCAGATCTGAAAACTCCATCTTTACGTTTGCATGCAGACGGGAGGAGACGGAGTCTGACGTCACAGTGTGCGACAAAATCGTCATCAGCGTCAAATGTGTGCGACCATGTTTACAGTCTGGATACTGTCATAATCATCAGAAATGTTCTATTATGTGGAAGAGCTTCTCTGTCGGTCCAAACAAACCACCCTCGTGTTATTATCGTTGAAGTAACAGGAAGCAGTTTGTGCCATTCGTTGTTGTGTTTTTTCCAGGATTCTGATTGGCTAGCATGGCTCTATGCTTCTCGTTACACTGCCCCCTACAGGTCTGGCAGCTCATAGCAGCTCTTATGCGGGTTTGTGTCATCCAAGATTTTTTTTGAAAACGATCTGGTGTGAACGATGTTATTTCTGAAAACGTAGATCCGTTTTTCATAAATACCCGGTTATGTGTAAACGTGGCCTTATACCAGGGGTGTCCAGTTCTGGTCCTGGAGGGCCGCAATCCTGCATGTTTTAGATGTTTCCTTCGTCCAACACACCTGATTCAAATGATCAGCTCATCATCAAGCTCTGCAGAAGCCTGATAACCATCCTGATCATTTCAATCAGGTGTGTTGGACGAGGGGAAACATCTAAACCATGCAGGCCTGTGGCCCTC